ATACTGGAGGACTGTTTGGTCTGTGGTTTGGCACAAATGGCAAAGACTTTATTATTTGGATAATTGAGAGTCGATTCTGGGTTTGGGTTTACAATCAATATCGCGATTATTTCATTAACACAAGAATTCAAGTGATTAACAATTAATTAATTTTTATGTAATTTTTTATATATATTTTTTTATTATAAAATTAAAAATATTATTTATAATAACTTAAGACTTATGTATTTCAATATTTATTGATTATCAGTGAAATGAAAGATTTATAATTATGAAACTTTATTTCAAAAGTAATTTAATGTATTATACTGTATAATTTATACATATTACTGAATAAGCTGAATAAAAATTTAAATCTCAGAACTCAGTAAATATAATTCATACTTGTGTGTAATGTATATAATAAATTTAGCATAATTTGAAATTTAATTAAAAATAAATAAAATACATTATTAAGAGCAGAATTATATACATCTCATATACTGTATATTACTACTATTAAGGTAATAATATTTTGTAATTGTTGTTATAGCAATATTTCTAATAAGGGTAATAATCAGTACAATATATTTGATAACAAAATCAAATGTATTTTCTAATTTTGTACTTTCCTAATTAATCGTATCATAGCGTTATCAATAAAAATTAAATAATTTCCATGACAATTAAATCAAATATTTCATGATGTTACTTTTTAACTTAAAAATAAACACTAAAAACACATTTACTAAATTTACAAACATGAATTCAACTAAAAGTGAACAGTATAACTACAATAATTATACACCTGTAGTGTTGTTATTAGGTGCTTCCGGTATAGTAATTGGATTATTATTTACACCCAATGGATTGGCTTTGTTGTACCAAATGAGCCAGGTTAAACTATTTAAATATCTTAAAATGTTAATCTAAATTATTTATTAAAATACATACAGATCACAGTAATGGCACTAGATTTTATCTCAATATACATACTGGCTAAATTAATTGAACTATTGAACACATTTAAAACTAACAATTACCTCTCAACAATTAAAGGCTTAATACTGTTTATATTGGCTATGGTTTCAATTCATGTTTCAATACTATTAGGTCGACATGTAGTACCAGAGGGTGTGCCCGTAGACAAGGGCTCGTCCATAAGCCATACAAACCCGACTAATTAAATGTCAAATGATGATCGACTCAGGGAAATGTAAATGATAAATAAACAAGTTTGTTCTTCAAATAATAAAATTAAAATAATATGTTACTTATGTATTAAGTTATATAACTTCAGACACTGTTATAAAACACAAATTTATTATAACTTCACATAATATCAGAAAATATTTTATAAAATTATTTTTGCGGCAAAACTTTCATGGAGTAGTCGACGGCCGGATAGCCCTGGACTAAAGCGCCCAAAGATATGATGTCGACCCCCTCTCTGGCAAACTCCTGCACATTATTAGCGGTAATACCACCGCTGGCCTCAATCAGAATACCCGTGTGATTGGCCTTTAACTCGCTGACCGCCTCGTCCAACACCTGGGGGTCGAAGTTGTCTAACATGAGTATATCGGCCCCCAGTCGGGCCGCCTCCCGGGCCTCCTCCACGTCCCGGCACTCAACCTCCACCTTCACCGAGAAATCCCGGGAACGCCTAACGTCTCGGATGGCAGGGCCCACCCCACCGCTGATGACGACGTGATTGTCTTTAATCATAACCATTGCGGACAAGTCGTGCCGATGTGTGGCCACCCCTCCCACCAGTAGGCCGTACTTCTCGACCAACCGAAAGCCGGGGGTAGTCTTACGAGTGCCGGCGATCGTGCCCTTCCAGCCCACGGAGTCGACCGACTGTTTGACAGCCCGGGCCTGAGTGGCCACACCTGAACACCGGGCCAACACGTTTAGGGCGACCCGTTCGGCGAGTAGTATATCCCGGGCCTTACCGGACACAAAGGCCACCACATAAATGGGTGCTGGTGTGAGGTACTGGCCCTCTGGACACTGCCAGACTGGAGTGCAGTCCAACTCACGGAATATGGCGTTCACGAAGGGAATGCCCGCTAATACTCCGGGACTTTTGCATAGTATACGAGCTTTGACTACCAGATCGTGGGCTACCAGTGCCTGATAGTCAAACCTATGACAACAAATGAATTATGTGTTAAAACTAGGACTGATAAGCTTGTATGACATACCCGGGTAAGTCCTCTTTAATCCAGTTCTGTGCCAATTCACGCAATATAATTGGGTTTAAAATGTTTTCATAACTCATGTTTAAATGAATTTACAACTAAAACACTGTATTATGTAATGCAATGGAAAATATTTTCTAAATAAGACTAATAATAAATATTTGAAAATATTTTATTGGATGTTTGAAAACTACTGTAAATATTTTTCATATTACTGTATATATCTAAAGGAGACTCATTTTAAATTAGATTATTTTAGATGATTATCAGGGTATTTATTCTATTTTTATGCCACAAACTGGTTGTCCTTCATAGTTTATGTAGCACTGGTAGTCAATATTATCAGTTGGCAAATAGAAAATCGGTCTAAATGTACTTTATATTATGATTAGAAACTTTGCCTAACTTTTTAATACTAAAACTGTATAATGAAGTCTTTTATTATTTTAATTTATAAAATATTTGTATACAGTATTGAATTTTTTAAGGTCACACATACACTACACTGTTATATTATAATGTGTTTTACCGGTATTATTAAATATTAAATTTTATCTTAGTTGTAATGTAATATCATAATTTGAACATTGGTGAAATATGCACTTTATTTGTAAGTTACTTAAAGATGTTCTAAAATCAAATTTAAAACATAATTTATATGTATAAACACAATAAACTTTTATAACTTTATTAAATTATAGTTATGAAATCACAAGGTCAATATTCAATATTTTAAACATTAGTTTGTATAATAATGACAGCATATGACAAAATCAATGACAAACAGGTAATTAAAGTTTGTTTGGAAATTTTATACAAATTAAATGCTGTGAAACACAACTCGTGTTTCATATTATTTATTAGCAATAGTGTTGTGTTA